TATTGAAAAACTGGTAAATGTCCAGCATTGTCCAGCAGCTCCCACACCTGGACCCTACCAATCGACCCATCAACTCAACCAGGGACCAACGGCTTTACTTCCCGAAGGAAGGCGTGATCAGAGATGTTATGCCTTAGAACATGCCGGTGGCGGCGACTGAGATTGGACCCAGGCCTGCTGGGGTGAGAGGTAATCACGCTAACCACCGGCGCCGATATCTTACAAGGTGATATCACGGCGAATGAGATCGAGCCAAATTTGAGTTCTCAGTTCTCAGAAATAAGAAATAAAGTGCAGGAACTCAGCGATGAGTAAATTTGTCTCATGTTTTCCCAGGTTTTTCCAGTATTTTCCAGGGAAAAATTCCCGAATTTGAGAAAAGTAAAGATTGGATTCACTCAGTCTATTGGTACTACTCCGAGACTGAATAAAATTTTCGTCAATTTCCTTATTTTCTGGCAGATTTTTTAGGTTTTCCACAGGAAACCATGAGACAAATTTACTCATCGCTGAGTTCCTGCACTTTTGGCGATTATGAGTGAACTAAACTCAAATTTGGGTCGTTCTCATTCGCCGTGTACACAAAAGGAAAAGAGCCAGTGTCGCTACTTGATAGCAAACTACTCATAATGGGAGGAGTCTTTGTAGCTTTTATACCACTTGGTTGCACATCATTCTGCTTTAACCTGAAAAGATATAAAAGAGTGCTGCTGTATGACATTAGCTCATTTTCGCTTCGGACGGCGTGGTGAACAGCAATAGCAGCAGTAGGAAGGTGGTGGCTAGTCCACTCCTTCACACCTAACAAGCAACAATTGACTGGTCGTGGCAAAGGAGGAAAAGGTCTGGTAAAGGAGCCGCCAAGCATCATCGCAAAGTTCTTCGAGATAACCGCCATCGGTCGTCTGGCTCGCCGTGGTGGTGTCAAACGTATCTCCGGTCTGATCTACGAGGTGTGCTGAAGGTGTTCCTGGAAAATGAGGTCCGTGGAGCTGTCACATACACTAAACACGTCAAGCGTAAGTGGCCATGGATGTCCTCTACAATAAAACGGCTCTTTTCAGGGCCATCAAGCTTACATCAGCAAAGAATTAGAATAGAATTTATCTGTGCTTGTTTGTCCATATTCAGAACCACAAGCCCTCAACGACCACACAAAATGCTCTCAAGAGTTGTAATCTTGGACCAAACTTGGAAGCAGGGGTGCAAGTGATTTTGATTGATTCTCTTAATCAACTTTCTCTTCGAAAAAGATTACTACAAATTTGGTACGCCTTCAATTCAAAAACGGAAAGAGTTGAGATAATAGATAATTGATCAATTAAAAGAACTAAATGCTCTTCACATTTATTCCGTCCACTAGCGGTCCTACGTCAAGCTTCTAGGCACAGACCCTTCAACTTTTTACCATGGCTGATGCGAACTCCTGGGTATTGAAACTCTTGAACTTAGGCGGAAGATTAACCAGGCAGTTTTTGCAGCGAAAGTGCTGATAAGCGAAATCGACTCTCCTGGGATTTTGGCCGAATTCGAAATCTATGCACCTGAACGAGAATTTTCCTGCATCTCGGACCCCGAGCAGCACGTCGTTTCAATGAATTCTATGCTTTTTTTGACTTCAACTGCACAGCGGAAACCTTTCGTCACCGGATTCAACGTAGTATGCTGGATAGGTGACGATACGGTTCGATACAAGCATTGCCTATAATTGCATATCAGTCCCATATGCATTTTCGTCAATTTTGAGATAGCAACGCTATCCACTATCAATTGGCATCTACTGGTTGGTTCAGTGACTACTCTGCAAAAGTGTAGTGATACCGAGAATATAATTATTTGAGGAATTTGCACGGTATGCTTGAAAAACAAATTATCCGCGATTGTAGCCTAGCCTAGTAAAACCTTTGGTAGAAAATGATGATAAATTTAAAGGATCTGCAAATCCGTTTCCAAAAGAAAGAATGTACTAAACTGAAAGTTACTAGTACAAACTAGTGAATTATTTCAATTTTCGTTTTAATTTAGTTGATCATTGTGTGACAACCAAGTCGATTAGAAATTAACGAATGTAAAGGGTGATACGGTCAAAATTTGGTCAAGGGAAAACGCGTGTAAATCGGTGAAATCGTTTATTTAAAAAATCAAATTAAATTTCTTTTTCAAGTTCAATTAGTATAAAATTCAGGAAAAATATTCAGTTAGGCTTCCGCTTTTCCAAATCCGAATTGCCGGGCCTTACGCTTGACCCCTGCCATCAGATTTTGTACAGCCACCTTGTCCACCTTCTTCGCCGCAGAAAGCCAGTTTGCCTTGAACTGCTGCTCGCCCTTAGCAGTTTTTTTGGTCTTCTTTAGGTTCCGCTTGACAATAGCCCAGTATTTCTCAATTGGGCGGAGCTCTGGCGTGTTGGGAGGGTTCTTGTCCTTGGGAACCACCTGCACGTTGTTGGCGGCGTACCACTCCATGGCCTTTTTACCGTAATGGCAAGATGCCAAATCCGGCCAAAACAGTACGGAACAACCGTGTTTCTTCAGGAAAGGCAGCAGACGTTTATTCAAACACTCTTTCACGTAAATTTCTTGGTTGACAGTCCCGGAAGCTATGAAAATGCTGCTTTTCAAGCCACAGGTACAGATGGCTTGCCAAACCAGATATTTCTTTGCGAACTTTGACAGTTTCATGTGCTTGAAAACATCTGCTACCTTTCCCCTTCCTTTTGCCGTATAAAACTCCTGTCCCGGAAGCTGCTTGTAGTCGGCTTTGACGTAGGTTTCGTCGTCCATTACCACGCAGTCAAACTTCGTCAGCATCGTCGTGTACAGCCTCCGGGATCGCGCTTTGGCCGTCGTATTTTGTTTATCATCGCGATTTGGAGTCACTACCTTCTTGTAAGTCGATAGTCCGGCTCGTTTTTTGGCTCGATGCACGGTTGTAGACGATACACCCAGCTTATTTGCGGCATCTCGGAGAGAGAGGTTAGGGTTTCGCTTGAAACTACCGGCAACTCTCTTTGTCGTCTCAGCGGCTTCTGGTTTTCGATTTCCCCCCGATCCAGACTTCCTGGCTGTCGACAAACGTTCCCCAAACACTTTAATTACATTTGTAACGGTTGATTTGGCAACTTTTAGCGATTTTGCCAACTTTGCGTGCGAGTAGCTCGGATTTTCGCGATGCGCGAGCAAAATTTTGATACGCTGCTCTTCTTGCTTGGACGGCATTTTGACAACTGAAGAGTGAATTCCAAAATCAAAATAGGAGCAACATTCTACACACACACACCTTCAAAATGAGGGGTGTTCAGGTTTTTTAAATGCAAAATTGAAAGAAATACGTCAAGTTGATATTGACCAAATTTTGACCGTATCACCCTTTAATGTGCATGTGAAAGTAAATTTCAACTGTTCGATTCAACTGATCCAGTCATTGTATTGTATTTCAGAGCACCACCCGAGTTAAACTAATTGAATTAAATACAAAAAACATCAACACATTTTTCAAGAGTGTGTACATTCTGATAACTGCAAATACGCGTATTATACCGGTCGACCATGACATCACTGTGACGAATTCGCGTAGGTTATCGCTAGCGCATACGTTGCCAGCCGCGATAAGCTTAAGTTTTCGATTCAAACACATTGAACATTCCGTTTTTGATTTTCTTCGATGGAAACGCAACCCGAATAAAAATGCACCATACACCCAAACCAAACGATAACATACAGTTTCTGATACTTTATGCTAAATAAATTAAATAATTAAACTTTGAAAGGTTAAATCCGAAAAGTCCTCCAACGACTACATTACAGAATCTATATGGTAAGAAACCCAGTTAAATTAAAAGGAAAGTTGACACACTTCATTCGAGTAGTATACCCCACTTCGAACTTTTTCTTTAAGAACCACGAGAAAAGTAGCCCCAATTTGCGCGCTTCATCAAAAAAATGTAATTTGTTTGTACAGTTTTGAGAAATCAATCATAGAAAGTCACGCCAAAACTGCTTGACAAAGTGGTCCATTAGGAGTGTAACAAATGTTAATATGAAGTGAAAGGTAGTTACAGTTACTCTACAGTTAACTGTTACTAATCAAGTTTATTAGTATTCCGTAACACCTAGAGCACCAACCAACGTGCTAATCGGTCCTATTCACACAGTCACGGATGAATGTTTGCATACACCTAGGTATTTACAGTAGTCTCGTCCAGTTACAGAGTGGGAAGCGCCACAATGTGATGCATCAGCTTTCTTCGCAATTACTTTCTTTTTATATGCAGTGCATGCACATTCTGCTAATTCGCTATAAAAATAACATTGATGACGTTCCAGTCGCGACGCAAAAGTAGACAACAATGAATGAGCTGGCGCGCGTAGCGCTCCGCCAGATGGGGTAGAAGGCAAAAAAACACACACACAATGGTCGATAAAGGGAATCTCCCAAATTACGCTAGAACGAATCACTCAAGTATCTCATTCAGGATTAAGTTGGTGCCCGCCTGAACGAATCTCATCGAGTTCCTTAAAAAGCCTGTAAAAAAAATGTACAGCTCCAATGGTTCTATCAATACCACCTCAAAAGACAAAGCCAAGCACCGCAGCGAGCTAAAGCCAGCGTAAATAAATATTTCCCTTCCTTCAGTGCCAGTCGGAGCCGCAGCAACACGCAAAAACTGCCTGCATTCCAACAGCAACGGTTGACCACAAAAGCTGTCCTCACAAAACCACAGAGCCAACACTAACTTAATTAATAAATCAGGAACAGTGTGTGGATAGCAGACCAAATGAAAATGACCCCGTGACAGATGATGAAAACATAAAGTTGCTGTCTGCATCTTTGTTCGATTTTATTGGTAGGGTTTCACCTCTCGTTCAGTTTCCAAATATTGTTACTCATCATCAGCGTACTTCAGGGGGAAAAAAAGATAAGATTTGCATGACGGCTCATGAAATGCGATATCAATTACCACCCATTAACCCATTGCATTGTAAATGACTTTGACTCACCTATATCGGAGGCCAGTGAATTTGAATTCCCTAAAATGCCCATCCTTCGATCGAACGGCTACTTGCGGATATAGTAAACGGAACTCTCAAGGACGATCCTTCCTTTCAACACGACTAGGCGCACACAAATAATAGTAATAATCTCCGTCGAACTAATTTTTTTTTTGACAGGTTCTTGTTTTCTTCGTTGCTGATGACTGCACTCCAGCTACACCTCCCACAAACCCCCAACACACTCCGCTCCGTTCCGCGTACGCACCAGTGACGAGAAAGCAAAATAATCGTACCGACGTCTTTGTACCTCTCTCTCTCTTTTTCACGTCTTGTCGTTCCCCCTGCTCGACGCGATGATGATGGAGGAGTCCCGAGGGGAGAACCTTTGTTTTGTTAAACCCGTTTTTTCGCCCGACGAACAAGTTCCACGTCCAAACGTTATCACCTCCGGATGCAACCGATTGCGAACTATCGATTTTGCACTATTTCGTTACCGTGACACGGAAATTTCAACGCGAAAAGCTTAAATTTCCACTGTCTCCGACAGATTCTGATGGGTGCAGATTGGAGATTTTTTTTTCTTTTTATGACGACGACGACGACAGCTCGCCGAAGCGATGATGAATCAAATCAAAAACTGCTCGATTCAAGCAGTTTGTTGACAGAGTTTTTCGAGAGGTTTGCAGGGGTGAGCGACGAAAGTGTATACACTCAAAATTATTATTTATCAAAGAATGTGTAAAGTTTAATCAATTTTTGGAGAAAAAAAGTTTCCCTAATAAAATCTTTATGGTTATTTTGCTTAACGTTTTTAGGTCGGGGTATCATCCAACCTATTGGTGGAATAGTTTTATCATTTGGGTTATCGTTCGTTTATGGTATTTTTATTAGGGTTGCCAATTCAGAGAAAATTAGCCTTTGGCGATACCCTAATAACATTGTTAAGGCTATTTTTGCTTAACGACGTGTTCCAAACCATTTGTGGAATAGATCAATCATTTGGGTTGTCATTCGGTTATGGTATTTTTTTATTAGGATACATTATCAGCTTTAATAGCATGATGTCAGTAGCGTCGAATTGTTTTCCCTGAAACGGCAATGTGATTCACTCGTTGTGGGTTTTCTAGTTAGTATATTTTTTTAGTTGGGTGTTCACTGATTGGGTGACGTCCCAACTAAAAAGCAGTCGTCCGTCAGAACTAGCCATGAAATTTAATTGACAATCTATCCTCTTCAAAACTTTTTCGCTAATAAATTACCGCACTAAAGCCATATAGGCATAGAGGTAATTCTAAGACCAGAAGATCACGAAGAAACGTGCTTTTTGGCTCAGCTCTGGTACTCCCTTCCTCGCTCTCTTCGGCCCCAAGCTAATAGATGCACCCCTCGAAATATAGGAAAATCCACGAACCCCTCATTTTATCTGTCAAACTTTCATAGCTGTCAGATTTTCACTTCACCGGAGGTGTCCACTGATCGATAGTCGAGTATTAGTACAAGACCGAGTAAATACAAGACACTGAAGGAATCTGCACATTTTAGACGAAATACGCGTAACTGTCAGGATAAGCAAATAAGGTTGTGGAAATAAGACGCCCACATTCATCAAGATTGATCGATTTCGGTTCACGTGAACTTTTTTTTTCCTTTATTTAAGAGATTTTTAGCCATAGGCTACACAGCAAAAAAAATGTAATATCGATCAACGTAATTCACGCTGATGTATGAAATAATGATGTAATAGCAAAAAGCAGATACAATTTTACATCAATGGATGTAATTTTGTTCGCAAAATCGATGTACATCGTACAATGTGATATTACACAACCGAGGGATTGACCTGGTTGTAGCAGTTTCGATGTAATATTCAACAACTTTTTTTGCTGTGTAGTTCATTTCTATTCACGTGAACTGTGAACTGCGGAAAAAAGGAATCGGAAAATGTTCCACAACCAAGTACACAACAATTTTTGCACAATCTTTTTCGATAGCGAAATTTTAAGATTTTCCACTTGCATAAAATTTCACTTTTCTTTGAACTGTGTACTAGGTATAAAGACCTGTATAGAGATCGAAGCGAAGTGAAATTCCCATATAAAATACTTGATTTTTCACCAGCGTAAAAAATGTGATTGACATAAATTTCACTTCGCTTGGAATTGTAAACAGATACGATCCAGTGAAATCGTATCGTTTTCGCTTACGTTCACTTTTTTTCACGCATGCAGCTGCTCGTGAAAAAACAGCAGCTAAGCGAAAACTTGACGTTTCGAGAAAGAGCGTATCCGTCAGATTTTCACTTTTGTGCGAACTGTGAACGAACTGCGAAAAGAGGAAATTGAAAAATGTTCCACAACCATTTTTTTCACTACCGTTTTCGCTAGCGAAATTTCAAGATTTTTCACTAGCTTTAAATTTCACTTCGCTTTGAACTGTATGTTTACTAGGCTTAAGCAAAAAAGTTGCAAACGACAAATTTCGGTTTCGTTGGATCGTATCTGTTTATAGTTCCGAGCGAAGTGAAATTTTTGTCAATAAACATTTTTCACGCTGGTGAAAAATCGAGTTTTTAACGGTATAGATGTACAGGATATGTTAACCTCACTGTTCTCCTTAAGAATTTGACAGTTTGGGGTGATTTGCTCACGAAAATTCGTAAGTAAACCATGCCAAGCTGTCGAATTCCTATGAAATAAAAGTGATGTTTGTGAACTTCAATTTCAACGGAGTTTGCTGACGTTACCGACGGAGGAGGTTTCAAATGATTGCAACACAGATTCCACACGATTGTGACGGAGCTTGCTGACGTTCCTGACAGAGGAGGTTCCATATGATATTAGTGTAGGTTCCACACGATTTTTATAGACTGTGCTGACGTTCACCATGGAAGAGGTTTCAGACGATTGCGAAAAAAATTCTAGTCGATTTCAACGGAGTTTGCTGACGTTCACGACGATTTCAGATACTGCCAGTGAAATTTCCATGTGATTCAGACGAAGAACATTACAGAAAATTTTGACAAATAATCCAGATGAGGCAGTATCTCAAATATCCTAGCTTAAACCTCTTCCATGGTGAACGTCAGTAAACTCTGTCGAAATTATGTGGGATTTATGTCAAAATCGTCTGCAAAATATCTGTCGGAATCTGCTGAAACCTTCGTGGGTGGCATCTGAAATCTTCACCGGAATCTCCTCCGTCACACACATCAGTAAACTCCATCGAAATTGACCACTTTGTCAAGCAGTTTTGGCGTGACTTTCTACAAGCGATTTCACAAAACTGGACCAACTAATTTCAATTTTTTTATAAAACGCACAAATGATGGCTACTTTTCTAGAGGTTCTAGAAGAAACAATCTCAAAATAATGTTTTATTTCAAAGTTCGAGTGGTAGTAAACGTCATTTTAAGTGCTCGAATGAAGTAGTTAATTGTCTGAAATCTTTATCGATATCGTCTGGGATCTACTCCGTTGGAATCGTCTGGATCCTTTATTGACCGAGTCATTGGCAGCTTCTGAAATCTCCACCGAAATCTTCTGGAACCTCCTCCGACAGGAACGTCAGGAACACCAACAAACAAAACCAAATTTAGACGTTTCTGTCAGACCACTACAAAGATTAGAGGTGGTTAGAAAAATCCTAAGAGAAGAGCAGACAATACGGGGGCGAAAACGAACCACTTTTCTATCAAACGCGAACCAGCTCGTGATTGGCCGATTTGAAGTGCGTAAGATAGAGATAGAGATAGATATAGATAGAGATAGAGATAAAAGAGTAAGAAGCCAGTTGTCTCGTCTTCCTCTTAGGAAAAATCTTAGAAGCTGTTAGAAAACTTATGAAACGGTTAGTACGAGTAGCAACGGATATTTGAAAAAGGCTCAACTTTGATAAGGCTTTTCAAAAAGATGAAGGTGTTTGATAAGTACACTAGAAATTAGCTAACTGCAAAACTTTTGGCTGAAATGTTTTTTTTAACTGAAAGTCCACTAACTACAAGCAGTTTCAGTTATCGAACACTTTTCTGTCAAATTGTTGCATTTCAAAACGTCGAGATGAACCAGATGAACACAAAGATGATTCATTTACATTTACATTTACATTCATTCAATTACATAAAAGTTAATGTTTTCATGAATTCTGGCACCACTGCCATTAATTTTTACGTTTGTTGATCAATTGGCGATCACGGCGACTCTGTAGCTCTTTACTCCTATGAGAAAATCCATAAGCAAACGTCAGACTGTGCGTGAAACATTGCGGACTTTGCACTATCCTTTCACTTCACCGAAAGTTCCCATAAGAAACTGTCTAAATTTGTTGGAAGAGCCTGTGGAAGAGCAAATTTTTCGACGGTGCCGTCAACGCCAATAGAACAGTGAATTATTATTCTCCGCACGCTAACTTCTGCTTACTCACCAGGTGAGTCGATCGTACTCACTTTCGTCCGATGTATCGAGTTGTCAAAAATTGAGTAAACGAGAAATGTCAAACTGAGTAAAAGCCACTCAGTCAGCAAAATCCTAGACTTCAAGAGCAAATTTTCATTACGTCGAATGTAACAAATGTAAACAAAGTCGAGCTATCAGTGTCAATCGATTCTCCTGCTATTACACTATAATACTGTCCGAATATAGGATCAAATCCCATTTTTAAATTTATTTACCAGTCAAATTGCTTTTTGACGTAATCACCTTCCGATCAAAATAGTTTTCGATGTTACTTAAGTCACCCAATTTCTATGGAGATGCCGTTTGACTTAAGTAACAGCGCTGAGAAACCCGTGAAAAGTGTTCGTTCGTCGTTTCGCTTTCTCATTATTAAAGTGAATAAATCGAACTGTTTGTTGCTAAGATGATTTCGGTGGTCCTAAAATGATGAATGGGCTGCACGTAAGGAGACGTAATTGATAATTCTCCCGAATATCCTGGTAAATACACTTTGACTTAAGTAACAATAGGGGCCACCAAACGACGTATAATAACTTTTGACTCAAAAACCAGTATTTTTTAGCATGAAAGCTAGCGATTTGCATTTGTATGATTAAAACCCTGCTAAATATGTTAAACATTGCTATCACTATGAGATTATATGTGTTTACTTGGAAATAGGAATAAATTTTCGGTCATCAAAACAAAACTTTATTTTTCTCGGATTGGTGCGAATGTTACTTACGACATAATGAAAATTTGCTCTTGACTTGGAAAAAATGCCAGTCATGTCGTAGGAAACCTCATAGAAAATGTAACTCAAAACCGGCTGAAATGCCTTCAGGTATGTACGAATTGCTTAGGGAAACGGTGTTGAACCGTTTTTTGCTCCGGTAGAATGAATCCGGAGCAGGCAATTTCCATTTCCTTGAATAAAAATCAAAACAAAAACTCTCCCTGCAACTGAAAATACCGGCGAGTGGATTTGACTCAGTCTACGTGAGAACGTAGTTTACTCAAAAGTGAGTCAACATAAGGCTACTCAATTTTGAGTAGCCATACTTGCCGCTGAGATGAGTACATTCGACTCAATTTTGAGCTGACCAGAATAAGCGTGCGCCATCAGTGGTTGCTATGCT